TACCTCCTGCTGCTGTGCCGTTACTGCCTGGAAAGGCACACACAAGGTGTTGGAACGCATGCTTCAGCAGAGATAGCAGAAAGGAAGACAGATGAGAAGAGAGGAGCAAAGAAGAAGGACAAGACTAGAGGGAAAAGGCAGAAGAAAGAGGGAAAGAAGAAAAAATAGGGGAAAGGCCACCCAAAGAATACACAATTCTACTGTTTTCCCACCAGGTATTTGACTTTCATTGTGGTTTGAAGTGAAAGGTCCCCCACCTCCGCCATCACCGCCATGGGTTCAAGTGTTTGAATACTTGATCCCCAGCTGATGGTGCCCTTTGGGATGGTTGTGGGACCTTGCAGAGGTGGAGCCTCACTGGAGGAAGCCTTGTGGTTTAAAGCCTGACCCTCACTCCCTGTTGTCACTCTGCCTCTGTACTATAGCTGCAGTGTGACTGGCTGACCTTGTGTCCCTGCTGCCGTGCCGTCCCGACCATGACGGACTACCGTAGCCTTCCAGCACTGAGCCAGGATAAACTCTTCCTCCCGTAGGTTGCTTCCTCCAGGGTTTTGTTTGTATTTTGTTGTTGTTGTTTTCTTTTTAACACAGTAACAGAAGAGTCACTAACATAACTCAAGCATGGACTTACCTGCAGGTGCCAGGCAGGAGGCTTGCTTTTAGTTTAAAAGGTTTACTTGCTTTGTTCCTAGACAGAGACTTATAGGAAGGGATAGTCCCATGGTGCATCCTCTCTTAAAAGGAGGCCCCCAGGTTTTAAGAAGAGAGACCATCTGTTTGGGCAATGGAACTTCCCTGAGCCAATCTCTCACCTGACCAGCAGAAACAGACTTCCATGTGTACATGAATGTATCAGTCTATGGAACTCAGGCTCCAACAGTAACATCTGACTTTGAACCCGGCCATCCTCCTCTTTCCCCAGGCACGGCTTCTCCTTTAACAACAATGACCCAAAGCCTTTGGTGGGAGAGGGGCAGAGTTGCTGTTGGGAATTTAATTTGCTGTAATCGACCCCTCTTAGCATGCAGAGTTCCACAGTGCGAGGAAAAGAATTAATCTCTCCCAGAAAGAATTGCCTTTTTTTGCTGTTATGAATCTAATCACTTACGAGACTGGGTTGGCATTTTGGGTTTAGAGGAAGCTCTCAGGAATAAAAACCACCAGATTAGGTTTCAAATGCCACGTGAATAGGGTACCTCATTGAACTGGGGGGCCTGCAGTCTGAAGAGGCAAGGTAATGCAAATAGAAGCTCTTACATTCTTTGGTTCTTTCAGAGACCCACCACCATGCAAAGAAACGGTTATGGAATGACTGCATCACCATGGGCCTCTTGGGATACCCTGCCCATATCCCTTTATTCCCAAGACACGCTGCATTCTCTGGAGCAGGCTGTCGGGTCTGCCAATCATCACTGGTACTCCCTTTACACGAGGTGGTGGGGGGGATGTGTCTTCTCCATGCATACTGTTTTATAATCCTCAGAGGTGGGATTTCAGAGCACAGCAGTGCGTTTGCCTTTGACATTCTCCTAAGCAGGATTTATTGCCTCCAAGACAGATGTGACTTGAATCGATTGTGCCTTGTAAGCACGTACTCGCTGAGCAGCCTCTGGGTTCTCTGCAAGGCTTCTCTTTCTTTTTCCCACCTTCCTTCAACGTGTGGTTGATGTCAGAGAATCTCATCATAATCGAATACTGTTAAGAGCCCGGTGCGTACTGAACTAAGACACGTAGGAAGCTCAACGGGTCACGACATGTGGCTCATTCTCCACTTTTGACCCACAAAATATAAACATATAGACTGGTCCATTGATATCTCAAATGCAGAACCGAAGGAAGGCTGCATGTGCAGGCTACATTAACATTCTAGTGATACTCCACTATTGAGTCTAGAATAATAAATAAGTATATCCATCTGTCTTTGGGAGAAAGATACCAAGCAATGTTCAAAAATAGATAGAAAATAACTGAATTTCACCAAAAAAATGGGTTTGATAAAGATTCTTACTAAAAAAAGAATGTATTTTTGAATGTCTACTACAAAACTCAAATCTACAGTTTGGAGCTGGAGAGATGCTCAGTACTTAAGAATATTTGCTGTGCTGGCGGAGGATTCAAATTCAATTCCCAAAACCTATGTCATGAGACTCACAACAGCCTGTAACTCCAGTTCCGGAGGATCTGGTGCCCCCTTATGGCTTTTGAAGGCAGTGTACTTATGTGCATATACCCACATATAGACACACATACACATAACTACAAATAAAATAAATCTTAAAAGAAAGATAAAGCCACCTATTACCCCAGTCATCCACAAAATGTCATTTCCCCAGCATCATATAAAATTAGTGACATTAAGTTGAAAGAGGACCACCCGAGACTCTGTGCAACCCAAGGGGCTGTGAGGTCTTGATGTTAGCCCATTTCAGCAAAACTTTCAGAAAGTTAGTGTGTTTGTTTGGAAGAAAAACCACAAGGCTGATATCTTGCAACTAAACTAAACACAGCACATTTCGTTTGTCCTTTATAAATCTAAAAGACAAGACTTTTAGCTATTTCTGAATAGAAGGAGGCCTGAGGCAAGAGTGTCCCCAGACAGTGCATGATGATACTTGACCAACTTCTTGTGACAGTTTTCCTGGAGACATGGACCCAATTGACCTTGATTGAAGAGAGTGGGGCTAGAGAGGAAGAGCAGTGGAACCCTACTTTACTTTGTCAAAATGAGAACATTCTATTTAACTCTGAAAGGAAAAATAAAAGAAATAAAGAAATATAGAGATGATACATAGAAAGATAGATGATAGATAGATGATAGATAGATAGATGATAGATAGATAGATGATAGATAGATAGATAGATAGATAGATAGATAGATAGATATTGATGGATGAATGGACGGATGGACAAATGGATAGATAGGCAGATAGATAGATAGATAGATAGATAGATAGATAGATAGATAGATAGATAGGAAGGTTATCAGTGTGGTGAAACATAATCTTAAGCCATGTAAGATGTTTCAGATGGGCATATTTCTTGGGTACAGGGTAGTAATTCACATGGGTACACTGTGTATGGCCCAAACTGGGGTAAATAGTATTCCCAGCTTCTTAAGCACGTCCTTGTTCTGGGGCACTACAATCTCTTCTCTTCCATTTCTTAATAAGACTGGTAATGAATTCACCAGGTGTGGTGCTGCATGCCTAAAACCCTAGGAGGACTGCTATGAGTACAGGGCCGCCTGGGCTACCGAGTGCAAGCCTTTCTCAAAACACGAAAATAGTAACAACAAATGTCCTACGTTGTTATGAACTCTGCTTACCCCACTATGCTGTGGACTCACTCCTCCATGGCCTTCAACTATGGGGCCTGGTTTTCCCTCTGATGGGAAAGGGTGTTAAAAGTTCAGCGCTCTGCATTCGTAAATTCAGATGAGAAAAGAAATGAAGAGGCTTTTATTCTCTGGATTTTGCAAACGAGAACACACACTCTCTCCTTGGGGATTCATTTACACAGTTCCCTGGGCTGTGATGTCAGCTATCGGATTGGGCCCAGGCACCGAGCAAAGCTGCGCTTTCAGGAACAATTTGCTTGCTTTATTCAGTAAGTTGCTCTAAATTTCCCCCTTTTATTCCAAGTCTTAAAATTGGCTGTTGTGGCTTTAGAAGCCTTCTTTTCTCCCCCAGACAGGCTTGGGAAGGAAAGGGAGGTTGAATAGCTGCTTACTAAAAAGAGGGTCTGGAAGAATAAGAATTTAAATGAAAGGCTTTGCATAATTTGGGGCACCTTGATGGAGGGGCTGAGATCCCACGGGGCAGCTTCAAATACTGACAGGTGAGGAATGCAGACAGGCCCTACCAGCTACAGTCCTGGTGAGATGAAATTGAGATTTCCAGACTGATCATAGACAATAAAACAAAGCATCATCCTGGCAGAAAAGAAAGTGGAGAGACCATGGTTCAAAACTCTCCCACCCAGAGCAGAAGGCAGGAAACAGCCCTGCTGACCTCACTTGTTCAACAGAAAGCAAGCTTCAGGAAAAAGAAAAAAAAAAAAAGCTTTGCAGATACATCGCCCAAGAATCCCCTCAAACCAAAGACGGTTTCCTAAAAACATTTCCAGATTCCCAAGAGACAGAAATGACAATAATTTCTAGAGCAGTTTGCTTTCACCAAAGAAAATGCCACCCTGCTCTTAAAACACCTGGTGTTTGCCCATCAACATATCTGGAGAGACCCACTAACAAAGACAGAAGGAGAAGAAAGATTACTTTTAAATATTTCAATAAAACAGCATATGAGGAGAAACCTTGAGAAACAACAGCTCAACAATGGTGTGAAATGGGCAAATCCCCTTTCAGCATATTCATTGCTAGTGTCTTCAAAATGCTGATTCATCTACTAGGGGGTTCATCGAGCACCCCTAAATATTTACCAGCTGTTCAGAGATACAGTTTTGGATCAGGTCTTGCTTCATGCCGACACCCTTGCCAGGTTTGATGCCTGCCAAGTTTGTATGGAAATGCATTCTTTCTCTTTCCCAAGACTGAGGGGGATGTGCTCCATTCTCAAAGGCAACACATACATTATCTTTAAGCTCCATTACTCCGACTTTAAGAACACAGTAAAACCTAATGAAAAGCCCAGTCCGCACTGTATCAGAGCGCCTCTTACAGTCGTTTACGGCAAAAGTGACTGGTGGTTGGTTTGCTAATTGGATGTCCTTGGTTATCTTATCCCCCAAACAAAGCATTTAAAGAAACCCGAAAGACAATTCCAAACCCATTAAAGGCATGCCCAAGCCTTGGCCAATGACTGAGATCCAACATTAAATCCTAAACTTGCAAGAAACATGATGAGAAATCTTGTGATATTTTCGTTGTTTTTTTCATTAGCTTAAATGTGTAATTCTTGAGCGTGAACTTTTTAGATGATACAGTCATGTCACAATGACAAAAGCCTGGACAACCCTGGACCACCCCCCACTCATCCTTGTACCTGGGCATCCATTAGGAGGTGTCTCATCAGTATCATGGAGTTCTTCAGTGTCTCTTTCTCGGTGGGTAGAAAAGGGTCATCATCCTCCTCCAGTGCCTTCGACTTGGTGACAATGAAATGGGAAATCTGGTCATTTAGGGTGTGCAGTGACTGCACAGCTGTGAAAAGACAAAGAAGGAAATGGGAAAATGGTAGTTAACTCTCTGTGTGTGTGTGTGTGTGTGTGTGTGTGTATGTGCACAGACACACACACACACAAACACACACACACATACACACTTCCCAGAGAGTATTTCCAATTACCCAGTGCTGGGATGACAAGTGGTCACCACCAAACCCAGCTTTAGTTCTACATTTAACTTGGTGTGACTGTCAGCTTTGTCAGCCTGACACCTGGGAAGAGAGTCTCAATGAGGGACCGGCTGCACTATGAGCATTGTCTATCACTATGAGTGATTGTCTTAAGCTAACTGAAGTGAGATGACCCATTTCACTGTGGGTGAAGTCATTTCCTAGCCAGGAAGTCCTGAGCTGAATAAGAGCGCAAGCAAGCAAGGGAGCATACATGTGGTCATGTCTCTCTGCTCTTGACTGTGGGCGTGGCATGACTAGCTATTGGAAGGTCTTGCCTTGATTTCCCCACGGGGATGGATGGAAGCCTGGAATTCCAATCTGTACCCAACCCTGTTCTCCTTTAAGTTACTCTCTGTCAAGGTATTTCATTACACCCATAGAAATGAGTCTAAGACACATGGACCCTGGGGGTTAAACCCAGGTCCTCATATTTGCAAAGCAAACAATTTCATGACTGAGCCATCTCACTGGTAATTTCCAGTGAGAAACTAACTGATCCATCATTTTCAAAGGGAAAGCAAGGGTCCACACCCAGGGGACCAACCAGGTGAGTGCCGAGAACCTGGGTTTCTTAAATAGTTAACAGTTAGGTTGTGTCTGATGAACACCATCTAAATACTTATCCTAAACTCTCTAGAGTCTTTGAAGACACATTTACTAGCAAAATCAGACGTGGAACTCACTTCATGGAGCACCCAGCTGTCCCAGGGAAGCATAACAGGTTAGAGTTAGCTGTGTACAATAGATGTGACTTTTTGATCAATATTCATAAGCCAGAGATCAACAGGGTACCAGGGTGTGGTCAGCCCTATGTTCAATTTACACTTATGATAACGCAGGTGGCCATTTCCTCCCTAAGCAGATGGCCTTTGCCATTAAAACTTGTGAAGGGGCAGTGGTCATGTTTTCCCATCAGTGCCACAAGTAGGCTGGAAAGGCTATAATTTCTCTGTCATTCCCATACAACTTACCATCCGACAGTTTAAGATTTGACTCATTTATTATTATGGCTGTCTCTTTCTCTACTATCCATGTAGTAACAGCATAGGTGGGTGGGAGCGTGTGTGAGCCTGTGTGTGTGTATGTGTTGTGTGTGTGTGTGTGTGTGTGTGTGTGTGAATATGGGTATGAGCTTGTGTTGTGTGTATATGAGTGTGTGTGTGTGTGTTTGAATGTCTGTGTGTGAATATGGGTATGAGCTTGTGTTGTGTGAATATGAGTGTATGTGTGTGTGTGTGTGTGTGTTTGAATGTCTGTGTGTGAATATGGGTACGAGCTTGTGTTGTGTGAATATGAGTGTGTGTGTTTGAATGTCTGTGTGTCTAGGCATGGGTGACTGCGCATGAGTGTACATGCATGCATGTATGTGTATGAGAGAGAATGTGGGTTGTGTAGGCCAGAGGTTGATCTTAGATATTGTCCTTAGTTTCTCCATGTTTTCCTTTTTGAGACAGGCTCTCTCACTGAACGTGGAGCTCATTGCTACAAGACCAGCTGGTCCCATGGGTCCCCCTGTATCTGCTTCCACAGTGCGACAGTGACTGGCATGTGTCATCATGCCTGGTTTTGTGTGGGTGCAGGAGATCTGAATTCGGGTCCTCATGCTAGCCTGGCAAACACATTCACCAAACCAGCTCCCAGCCCTCAGAGGTAGTTTTTAACCTGCTTTCTGCTCTGTCTCAAACACTTGGAATATCAGAGCTCAATAATCATTGTTGAACTAATTCCTTTACCGTTCCTTAAATTCAAATCCCTTTTCTTATAAAATAGTCTATAGGTTTTTCAGGCAAACCTTCACTTATTAAGTGAACAAAGAACAACCCCTGGGCATTCTCAGTAAAGCTACCACATAACCTCGATTCTGAAATCCTCCAGGGTCCTGGAACTCATCTGCCAATTCCAACACACAGTGACAGGGCTTGGGAGACCGTGCTTCTAGCCAAAGGTAGTGAGAGACACGGGTCACCCTCTCATGTAAACAGTAGGGAGCCTGGTGGTTTTCTACACAGCTGTGTTGCACAGACAGTTGGGGGTCTGTAGCCCTTGAAACGGTAGGGAAACTGAGTGGATCTTGTTATTTGCATGCAGTTGACATGTGTAACTCTCTACCCCACATACATACAATAAATATAGTTTAAATTTTTAAAGCAAATGTATTCTTTTATTTATATATATATACTTTTCATATTTATATATATAGTATATGTATATTTTATATATTCTTTCACACACAGCTCCTTCTGTTGAGAAGTGGAGGCTCACACTCCCTGTGAGCCTATCTGGCCCCATTGACAGAAGTCTATGATTCCTATGTCCAGCTCATAAAAGGTCTGGAGTCCTGGGCATGTTCACTCTGCTTGAAGCTAGTGGCCATGTAAGATACTTTTCATTGTTGATATTGATTGTCAAGTGCTGGGATCTAGAATCATCCAGGAGACCCTTGGGCATGTCTGTGAGGGAGTTTCTAGATTGGGTTTATTGAGGTGGGAGGACCTGAATGTGGGTGGAACCATTCCATGAACTGGGGTCCCAGATAATGTAAAAAGGAAAAAAAAAAAAAACCAGATTGAATACCCGTGTCCAATTCTGCCTCCTGACTGCAGATGCAGCCTGACCCCCCCATCTCGAGTCCTTGCTGCTGCGTCTTTCCTACCATGGTATGATATGTTCTACTCATACGTGTGAGACAGAGGAAGTCATTCCCACCTCATGTTTCTCTTGTCAGGGATTGTGTCAAAGCAACAAAGAACTAACACAACACTTGAGCAATCAGAGACCGTATTTCTTCAAGGAACGCACAAGCACAGACTGCATGGAGAGAGGGAGAGATGTTCAGGCAACTGAATCTTTCTGTCCATCCACCCATCTATTCATCCATCCATCCCACTCATCTACCTACCCATCTACCATTCATTTAATCATCCATCAGCCCATTCAACTATCCATCCACTTACACATCCACCCACCCACCTATCCATACACATACCTACCCATCTACCAATCCATCTACCCACCCACACATCCTTCCATCTACCCATCCATCCATCCATCCACCCATCCACCCATCCATTGACCCATCCATACATCCTTCCATCCACCCATCCATCCATCGACCCATCCATCCTTCCATCTATCCATCCATCCATCCATCCATCCATCCATCCATCCATTGACCCATCCACACATCCTTCCATCTACCCATCTACCCATCCATCCATCCATCTACCCATCCATCCACCCATCCATCCATCGATCCATCCATCCATCCATCCATCCATCCATTGACCCATCCACACATCCTTCCATCTACCCATCTACCCATCCATCCATCCTTTTATCCATCCATCCATCCATCCACCCACCCCTCCATCCACCTACCAATCTACCTGCCCACCTATTCATCCACCTACCTACCTATACTACCACCACCTACTGATTTACCCATCTACCCATTCACCCATCCACCTATCCATTTATTCCAGGTTCCAGACAGGTAGGTGGAAAACTGTCTGGCAGGACTGCAGAAATAGCTCAGTGGTTAAAAGAACTTGCTGACTTTGCAAAGAATCTGAATTTAGCTTCTAGCATCCATGTCTGACTATTCAAAACTGTCTGTAACGCCAGCTCCAGGGGATCTGATGCCCTCTTCTGGCCTCTATAAGTAGGCATACACATGTAACAGACAGTCACAGAGGCACACATTTAAACAAATAAAGGGAACAAACATCTAGAACATTCTGATGGCAGAAGATACATCAAAAAGAAGAGGTGAGGAATCATGACCATGAAGAATTCATGTGTATATTCCATCTGTAAAGTCTCATCTACTTGCCTCTTCCTTGTCACCCCCAGCACAACCCTGTCCCTGGAGAGCAGAACTGAGCTGCGTCTTCATCTCCTATCCCAATCCATGGCTCACAAAGCTGGGAGACAGCTACATACTGCTTAGGATAGCTCAGTTTGGGGTGTTTTGTTATGTAGCAACAGGTAACTGCAAACTGTGACTGTGACACCTCGTGAAACTCACCAGAAGCTAACAATTCCACGGGGACAGGTCGTGTTTTCTCGGTTCATCACAGTGTGTCTTTGTTGCTTTTCTATTGCCTTGACAACGCACCATGACCAAGACAACTTATAAAAGAAAGTATTTAATTTGGGAATCACAGTTCCAGACAAGCTAGACTCCATGACCACTGTGGCAGGAAGCATGACAGCAGCCCCAGCAGGCATGGAGCTGGAGCATTAGCAGAGAGTTCACATCTTGGTCTCCCAGCATGAGGCACCTCCCTCGACAAGGCCACACCTCCTAACCCTCCCCAAACAGTTCCACCAGCTGTGGACTGAGATTCCTATATTTGAGCCCATGGAGACCATTCTTATTCAAACCACCACACCCCGACACTAGCATTATTCACTGCATATAAGAAGAAATAAATAGAGGCATGAAAGAGAAAGGTCACGGCACACCATTCTGTCCCCACCCCTTCCTTGTCATCATAGAATTGGGAAGCCATACACATTGTTCTCCGTTTGCCCCATAAAACCCTCAACTAAATAAAGCTGTTCTTAAAACGCATGATGGATTAGAGACCAGAGAGCCACAGACACCATTCCTCCCTACCTGAGGTGAGGAAATGAGGTCATAAAACCCAGTTTACTCGGTTGATTGTATTGAATGTGAAATGACATTCAATCTGCTGTGTGCTATCTTGGTCCACAAATCTGGGGAAACACACTTCTTAAGCAGCTTATTTATCTGAAGTATTGTCTGAATCTCCCTGAGCATTAATGAGTACTTATTTAG